ATATATATATATATATATATATGTTGAAGGTAAGAAGCAAAGAAGCTATTGAAGAAGACAAGAAATCTTGAGAGAGTGGAAGGAAAGTCAGAATAGTACAATGACATATACACATTATAGGAAAAAATTTTGAGGAGATGGTAGTCAATATTATCAGGAAAAATGATTAACAATTATGAAGACAGAAAAGACCAACATCAAAGTAATTGAGGTCAAGCTAGATTGCAAATGTGTTATAAAGTGAGTAGAAACTAAAGAAATTTAGGGAACAGATACGGACGGATTTTCAGAGTGGTATTCAAAGTATACATTTGAGGTCTCACTATTATTTGGGGTAGAGTGTTAATTTGTTAATATGAGTTTAAGATAACAATGTGAATTTGATAAAACATGTGGAAGAGTATCTATCATTTTTGCCCTCTAGCATTTATTCATCTTCTTTTGTTAATTATACTTTGTTTTCCCTCTATAGAATCCCCTTCTCTACCACCTGCGTGGGCTCAGGAGTAAAGCTGGTGACTTGGCCAATGCTTTACCCAATCCACTGAGATGTAATAAAATTTCTGGGAAAGGAACTCTTATTTCTTTCCTGATTCACTCTCAGAATGTCGTCTCAAAGCCTGATATTAAAAAGAAAAAAAAAAGTCCTAAAGGAGGCAACATTTAACTGATTAAGTTAGAACGATGAACATTAAAAAGGATGTCTTAAGCACATATACATATATACATAAAACTCTGATGAAAGAAATCAAAGAAGAATGTAATAAATAGATATTCCATGATCCTGGATAGTAGGATTCAATATTGTTAAGATGTCAGTTCTTTCCAACTTGATCTATAGATTCAATGTGGTCCCATTCAAAATCTTAGCAAGTTATTTTGTGGATATCAAAAAACTGACTCTAATGTTTATATGGAAAGGTAAAAGACCTAGAATAGTCACCACAGTATTGAAGGAGAAGAACAAAGTCAGAATCTGACATTATCTGACTTGAAGACATATTATAAAGCTACAGTAATTAAGACTTTGTGGTATTGGCAAGAGAATAGGCAAACAAATCAATAGAACAGAATAGAGAGCTCAAAAATAGGTCCACACAAATACAGACAAAGGAGCAAGGCAATATAATGGAGAAAATATAGTCTTTTCAACAAATGGTGCTAGAACCATTAGATACGCACACATTAAAAAAATGAATGCAGACGCAAACCTAATACCCCTTCACAAAAATTAAGTCAAAATGGATAACAGACCCAAGTGTAAAATGCAAAGCCATAAAAATCCTAGAAGATAAAATAGGAGAAAACCTAGATGACCTTGGGTTTGGTGATGACTTTTAGATACAACACCAAAGGCATGATCCAGGAAAAAAATAATTAATAAGCTGGGCTTCATTAAAATTAAAAACTTCTGCTCTGTGAAAGACACTGGAAAAAGAATGAGTAGACAAGTCATAGACTCGGAGAAAATACTTGCAAAAGACATAGCTGATAAAGAACTATTTCCAAAATATATAGAGAACTGTTAAAAACTCAATAATAAAAAACAAAGAGTTCGAATAAAAAATTGGCAAAAGATCTAAACAGACATCTCACCAAATATGATACAGAGATAGCAAATAAATACATGAAAAGATGTTCCATGTCATATGTCATGAGAGAAATGCAAATTAAAACAGCAATGAGGGGATTTCCCTGGTGGTCCAGTGGTTAAGACTCCACACTCCCAACGCAGGGGGCTGGGTCTGATCCCTGGTCAGGGAACTAGATCCCACATGTCACAACTAAGAGCTCACATGCTACAACTCAAGATCCTGAGCACTGCAACTAAAAGATCCCACAGGCGGCAACAAAGATCCTGAGTGCCAAATAAATAAATAAATATTAAAAAAAAAACAAAACAGCAATGAGATACCATCACACACCTATTAGAATGATGAAGGTCCAAAACACTGACAGCACCAAAAGCTGGCAAGGATGTGGAGCAAGAGGAACTCTCATTCACTGCTGATGGGAATGCAAAATAGTACAGCCACTTTGGAAGACAGTTTGGTGGTTTCTTGTAAAATTAAATATACTCTTACCACATAATCCAGCAATCATGTTCCTTGGTATTTACCCAATAGAGGTGAAAACTTATGTCCACACAAAAACTTGCACATGGATGTTTTACAAAAGCTTTATTCACAATTGCCAGAACTTCAAGCAACCAAGATGTCCTTCAGTAGGTGAAAGGATAAATACATTATGGTATGTCCAGACAATGGAATATTATTAAGCATTTAAAAACTTATGAAAAGACATGCAGGAACCTTAAATGCATATTACTAAGTCAAAGAAGCCAATCTAAAAATGGCACATACCATATTATTCTAACTATATGATGTTCTGGAAAAGGCAAAACTATGGAGATAATAAAAAGATCAGTGGTTGCAGGGGTTGGAGGTAGTTAAGTGATGAAAGGTGGAGCATGGAGGATTTTTAGGGCAGTGAAAATATTCTGTATGATACCATAATGATGGATACATGTAATCTATAGAATGTACAAAGCCAAGAGTGAACTGTAATGTAAACTATGAACTTTGAGTGATTATGATGTGCAATGTAGGTTCATTAATTGTAACAAATGTACCCCTCTGGGGAGGGATGTTGATAATGAGGAAGACTATGCATATGTGGGTGCAGGGGGTAAATGGGAAATTTCTGCACTTGCCCTCCAATTTTTCTGTGAACCGAAAACTGCTCTAAAAAAATGTCTTAAGAAAAAAAGAAAAAGAAATGAGCTGTTAAACCATGAAAAGACACAATGGAATCCAAATGCATATTAGTAAGTGAAAGAAGCCAATATGAGATGGCAACATACTAAATGATCCCAACTACATGATGTTGTGGAAAAGGCAAAACTATGGCAAGAGTAAACACATCAGAGGTTACCAGGGGTTAGAGGAAAAGTAAGGATGAATAGGCAGAGCTATTCTGTATTATACTATAATGGTAGATACAAGTCATTATGCATTTGTCCAAACCCACAGAACGTACAACACCAAGAGTGACTCATCATGTAACTATGGTCTTTGGGTAATAACTGATGTGTCCGTGTAAATTCCTTGATTGTAACAACTGTACTGTTGTGGTGTGGGATGTTGACAGCTGGGGGGGGCTGTGCATGTGTGGGAACTCTCTGTACATTCCACTCAATTTTACTGCAAACTCTAAAAGTAGTCTGAAGTCAGCATAGGTAATACCGAAAAACTACATTTTTTAATCAGTTATAAAACAACCAGTAAGAGTTAATGGTATTCTTCTTGATTGTCCAATAATGTTGAAACAATGAATATATTCAAAACAAAAATGGTGATGCCCGGTAGAATAAACTTGATTAGCTAAATACAGTGACTACCTTTTCATCCTCATTTTCAATTGCCTTTGCATTAGGATACTATAGGCAGAGATGAAAGTAGGAACAAGAAAGAGGAAAATAAACCAGTGTGATGAAAGCAAAGAAATGTTACAGAAATGAGGATTTCAGATGAAGTAAAAGGGGAAAAAAGAAGGTACCAATCACAGAGATCATGGATTGGATGTGTTAACCAATTAATCAATGGTTCTATCAACTTCTGATAAAGATAAATATTTCTAAAAATAAAAAAATGTAATGAAAAAAGTGGGACATAATAATTGAGAAAATGCTACGTGATTTTTAAAATATAAAAATACCAGCTTAGTAACAAAAATGCTTTTCAAGAGTTATGTATATAATTAGATGTTCTGCAGTTGTCAGGTACTGGGGACACCTAAGGAAAAAAAAAAAAGGAAATGCAGCATATTTATTCAGTGTCAGTGAGTACTGCACCTTAAAGAAGTAATATTCTTTTCTGCAAGAGGGCAAATGGATAGAGAAGCCCAAAGCAATACCAAAATAGTGTGAATACTGAGCTATTTAGGTAGAGGTGAACATACAATGGCTAATGTATTTAAACCAGAATTTGGTGGTTTTGATTTTTTTGTGTGTGCCCATGGCAGCAAAAGTAGCAGAGACCTAGAAGAGGCTCCTTTCAGTGGGTCTGAAAGATGTCTGGATAGTTTAGCTTCATTCTCTTGAGGTTTACCAGTTTTTTGGTAAAAGGTCACCAATAGTCATCTTTCAGCCCAATTCAATCACCTCTTTTCAACCTTGTCTTTTCTAGTTTTTCTAGAGAAATGGCACCAAATATTATTCTCTACTTTTGGAAATTCTTGCTGATTGAGAGATTACTGGGGTTCCCATTTTTCTCCTTCCTTTGCCAATCATTGATTCTCTTGGTTCTTCAGATTCTCTATCATATATATGACTGTGGGTGTGCCTCAAGACACTTGATGACAGAACACGAAAGATGCAGACTTCTTCCAATCATTTATGCCTCAAGGAGCAGAGCTTTTAATCACAGGGTCTAATCTAGACCTTAACTATTCCACAAAACATTTTAAAATTGACTTCTGCTGTGTTTTGACAATCAATGTATTTAAAATAAAACTATCACACTTTTTTTTTTTAAACTATCACACTTTTTGCTTCATTTTCCATCTTTCATTTGTACGACTGTTCCCCTGTATATTTTTGGAAAAGGTTTAATTTGTCCTTTTCTTCTCCTCTTAAACTTTGTATAATGAAGATCCAATTTATCCTCAAACCTTTCCCCTAAGGCTGATGCTCAATAACCTAATTCTTAATTTTCTAGATGATTTAATATTTGGTTATACACCGTCCTGTCTTCTCCTTGATTAATGTATATATGATTCCCTTTTCAAATGAACTGCAAACTCTTCAGCAATGTAATATCTTTTACATAATATACAGCTCTTAAAACTATAAACATCTGCAGAATTCTTAGTTACTGATCGAGGATTTGAAAAAAATCACTGTTTTTACCCTTTCATTTGTTGTTATAGAATTACATCTATAGAGACAACGCACATATCTCAATTTTCTCTTTAAATCACTGTGAAATAGATTTACTTGCCTTGTCCTCCAAGTGCAATTCTAAAAAGCGTAGGTAAGCCACAGGTGCAAATGCATCAGCTGAATGTGTGATTACTTCTGATGAATCCCTGAAATAAAAAAACGTTATAATACATTTATCTACTATGCAAAATCTGTTTTGTGGCAAGTTGCTCCTACTAGTGACTAGAAAAGACCAAAAATCCTCATTTATTTCCACTAGTATACTATTGTATACATATTTACTACATAATTAATGATTAACATCTACTTTTAATAATCCAATATTTAATTGGGGAAAAGATTGAGAATATTAAACTTTCAAAAATAAGTAAAGACCTTTTCAACTTTATGAGGACACACAGTTCAACTTTCAGGTTCACTCAAAGATCTCTGAACAGTTTTACAACTTGAAACTTCAATTTCATTTTCACAAATTTGGTTGGTATGGGCTACCATTAAACAGTAGTGCTTTATCTTCATTATTCTTTTCATTTTCAAGAGGTAATTCATCCAGTGTTTCACACAAAATCTCAATTATCCTTCACAAAGGCAGTACTGGTGATGGTTTTAAGCTCTAGATGAACTCTTCACACTGCAATATCATTGTTATTAAAATTGATTGTCTGACATAGCAATTACCACATTCAGGTAAAATAGTATGAACTGCTTGCTGGCACCATATGGATACATGTAAATTAACTCAACTTTTATCAAAGATACCCTGTAAAGCACATATGAATAACTAAGATTATGTGTGAAGTTCTAATAACTAATTATTTTTATTGTTGTTTATTAAGAAAGCAATAGTGTTTTTGTATTTTAACTCAAATTCTAAAAGCAGAAATTTCTCATATCTCTTTAATGCCTTAGGAACTAGTTCCAATGTTTATATTAGTACATTGTTAGCACTTTAACCATTGCTGTTCAGCAAAATAAATTCTTACTTTGATTCTTTTCCACTAATGTAAAATATTTTTGAATTAACTTTTGTAATGCAAAGTTATTTAGTGACAATAGAAGAAATCTCAAAAGACTAGGATCCGATATATTAAATTTTCATGAGCAAAATATGCTTACTTTTCACTTGAAAGATCAGAGATAGAGAAAAAAGTTTGATGGTAAAAAAAAAAAATCAACTACTATTCATGAACCATTAGTATCAAATACGTATCTTGTTAGTGTTTTTAAAAATTACATTAAAACAGGCTTCTATGACTTTAAAAGAAAAACATTATAATCGGGATCATGAAAGAAAGTAATAACCTGCCTTCACAGACTACCTAACCGAAAAATGCCTCAATGTATAATGAGCAATAGGAGAAAGAGAAAGAAAAGAGGAGACCCTCTTGCTTTCTACCACCTGTCTCTCTGCCTTGTTAACTCTAGTCTAGTCATCTTGTCTATTTACTCCAGAGTTGTCTGTTCTGGTCCTATCTTGGTTCCTCAATAGATTCAAATTCTAGTTCCTGTGTATGACCTCATTCTTACATTAAATTTCAATCTCTATGTTCCCAATCCCAGCTTTGGAAACTGATCCTGAGCCTCAATAATGCCTGATGTAGGCAGCTTGGTCTTGATATCCTTGACAATGGGTACACCAAAACCATGATTAACCTGAACCAGTGATGTGTCAGTGGAAAGGGTTTCGGGCCCTCCTTTCTCTTGACAGTTATTCCCACTAGAAACAGAAGATTGACAGCAAATAGCTCACTTAATTGATACAATTACTGCATTCTGAACCAAGATTGTTATCCAGAGAAAATATATAACATTCTGAACACTAAGTGAAAAGGAATATGGTTTTTATGGATTCTATTAAATCCATAATCTCTGACTAACGTCATTTCATTCAGTTATACAAAGCCAGAATCAACTGGGAGACAGATAATAGGTTCAAATAAATGGCTTTTAGCTTCAAACAGAATAATGCCACGACTGCTCTGCTTTTCTTTCATAAACTCACCTGAAACTCAACTTTCAAGAGTCTCTGGTTTCTGTCTGCTTCATGGATTTCTCTGAAACCTAGAGCAGAATCTGCTGGAATACCCTCAGAGAGACCCAGAAAATTAAGAAAAACTCTACAACAGCAAAAATGCTTTCCAGTTGGCTACCCTCCTCCTCTTTCCCTATTAATACAAGTAATCAGTGCAGCCCCTTCCTCTTACACAACTGAGGTTTCTCAGTAGCCAAGAGCTGGATCCCATGCTCCCTTTCACTGCTGCGTTAGGCTTATCCCTAGTTACGACTTCAAAAGGGCAGCTAGCTGAGTCAGGTCTGAGTCTCTCTTCCCTGACTATAGGCTCTCTCTCAAGTTAAGAGATCAGGCCCTAACCCTCTCACTTCAAAACACTGAATTTCTCTTGAGGCTCAGCCATGGTCTTGGTTCCTACTTCCCCTCTGAAAAGACAACTGCACGCAGGTATTCCCCGTGGGCTCACACTTATCCTCACAAGACATTTCCAACATCATTTCCGTGAAGGCTTGCCTGACATCTTCAGACAGTGCTAGTTTTCTGCTTTATGTGCTTTGGTAATGCATTTACAGACCTTTCATAACACATCCACTATATTATAATTATGTGTCTGTGTGCTTGTCTTCCTTCTTGAGAGGGAACAGGTTTTGTTCATCTTTGTCTGCCTGTCTCCCCACACTCCACCTCTGGCTCAGTGCAGAATACACGGCCTTATTTTCAATCATTTGTTGAATAACTGTATAGTTTAACTTTGTTAAGTATCTTTACATTTACACAGTAACTACTGACACTATCAAAAACCCACACTGATTTTTCAATTACCAATCTTCACACGAATACGTACATTTTCATACATGCATACTGTATATATATGGATACATGAACATAAGCATACATGTATACCAATAACAATATATGGTTATCTCTAGCATAATAAAAATAATTATATAAATTTAAATACAAGGAAAATGGTTCATAAATTCTAATAAATTCCCAAGTGATACAGAATAGATATGAGAAGGCAGATAAGGAAAGTACTTGATTCATCCTCACGGCTAAATGCCATATTACGATGCTCTGGGCTGAGTTCTGTCTTGAATAGGTAGAAACGAGGAGTAAGTGGGGAAAATGAGAGCATAGTGTTTTAATCACAGAATTTAGTTCTTCTTTTCATCCCTCCTTCCTTCCCATTGTTTCTTCTATCCATCCATCCATCCCATACACAGCAACTCTGTAGCAGTAGTACATTAATATTGACAATTCAAATGGAAATATGGGGTTGTATCAAAGATTGACATTAAAATTGTGTTCATTAACAGTGAGAAGAAAATTATCACCTTCATTAATACATTGGGATTTTAGTTCTTACTTTATTTTCAAAATACTGGCTATATTCCCCATGTTTTAGTTCTTACTTTTGATATGCATACACATATATTTCAAAGTAAGAAATAAAAAGAAAGTAGGTTTTTTAAAAAAAAATTATTTCTTTTAGGCTGCGTTGGGTCTTCATTGCTGTGCGCGGGCTTCTCTCTACTTGCGGCGAGCAGGGGGTGGCACTCTGTTGTGGTGTGCGAGCTTCTCACTGCGGTGACTTGTTGCATAGCATAGGTCCTAGGTGCGCAGGCTCAGTAGTCGTGGCTCGCGGGCTCTAGAGCGCAGGCTCAGCAGTTGTGGCTCACGGGCTTAGTTGCTCCGCGGCATGTGGGATCTTCCTAGACCAGGGCTCGAACCCGTGTACCCTGCATTGGCAGGTGGATTCTTAACCACTGCGCCACCAGGGACACCGAGAAAGTAGGTTTTTTATTTGAGGACCTACAGTTGTCCTCTTTTCTTAAAGACTAGGCTGCAATTCTTTTTGTCAAGGCTCCTCAGGAAAAAACCCTCATTTTCTGATCTAAAAATTTGCATCTAGAGGTGAGTAGTCACATCCTAATTGATGTGAAAAGTAAACTGTAAAATGTTCTAGTCAAAAATTTAAAAGATTACTTCCGCACAAAGACTGTTATACCAGTGTTTCCTACAAGACTTTTAAAATGTTAGTTGGAATTTGGGGCAAAATGTATCTCATAATAAACTTCTAGAACCACCCTAATTTGTCTAAATTATTTCATTATGCAAGAGATTCTATCTGTGTTTTTGAAAAAAAAAATCACACCTAATTATAATCAAATCATTTTGCATGCAAAAGTTTATTTTTTCTCCTCATAGTCTCCTTTTCTAACATAAAATTTGAATTAGACATTTAAAAGGGGATTCCTAATAATCAACTAGTTGTATGCTAACTGTGGAAGATCACTACTATGTCAAATATAACAGGAGAAATTATTAACTTTGTCCCCCCAAACGCATTCTAACTGACAGGATCCAGTATGATTAACTGTCAATTGTTAACAAGTAGTTACCAGGTCTAAACTTATCTTTTAATTGTGTCACATGGAAAACTATCTCTAAACAAAATAACTTTAATTTATATACAGTTTTAGAATGTGCAATGCATATTCATTCACATCATCACGTTTAGTGCTTATCAGATAGGTATGATAAGGACATTTTCTATTTTAAAGAGAAGGAAAGATTTTGTATATAGTAGGTGACATTCTTCTTCCATTCAACTACTACAAGCTCTAGTTATAACCTAAGAAAGGAATACATAAAAGTGAAATAGGATATTTAAAACTAAACAATAAATGAAAAATTAATTCCACGATATTTAACATTTATCAGTGCCTACTACTGTGTGTTCTGAGAGTTCAGATATGAGGACAAGCACTGGAAGTAGTAACAACCAAAGCCTTTAAAATTGGAAGGATTTAGCAAAGTGGGGATAAATGGGAAGGCAATCTAGCGAAAAGAAATCGAATAAGAAAGTTATGAAGCTGAGGTGAGGCAGAGCCTATGAAGAAAAAAAATCAAAGAACACGCTTAAGCATCAGAATCAGATTAGTGAGTAGCTGATAACTGAGTAAGAAAGAAATGTCAGTTCTTCCCCTTCTGTTCTCAAGGTACACACTCGTATGTTAGCACTTCCAGTATTGCTGATTTGCCTCTCCATTCTTACAGAAGAACTTTTACAGAGCAGGGTGGCAGCTTGCAGACTTCCACCCACATGATTATCCTCAACAAATGATTATCCAGTGCAATTGAACAGCTCATTTTGGCACTAGAGGGTTCTAATATACCTTCCCTGACATCCTTCTCTTCAACAGCATGATTAACTCCCATTATGTCATTGCCTCAGTCAGGTTGAGGTTTCTCTATCTGCACAATGATGAGGTGAAAGATTCATTTTTCAGGTCTAAAGTACTATGATAAATAAACCTTATGGTTATGTAGTGTAAAGCAGCACATTTCTTATAATTCTATGTTGTCCATAAAGAGTTCTGGGTGCTCCAGGACCTCAAGTTGTCCAATAAACAGGAAGAGTATTATTCTTTGGCCTTCTTTCTCTTATTGTGCTTTTTATTTTTTTCTAATTTGGTTAGTCTAATAAGTATATTGCAAGTTTCCTATTATACTATAATTTCACCCTAGCATGGAAATGTTTTTCTTAAGTAACCAAACAGTATTATTTCATAGAAGTAATACCTAAGGCACAGTTCATTCAATGAATTGTTTTGTGATCACTGAAGCCAGAAGAAATACCTCTCGTTTATGAACTTATTCTTCTGACTCTTATCCTCTATCATTTTGTGTCACAATTTTATGCAGATGTGTCTTCCTTCCACCCTTCTGGAGACAGGAACTATGTTTCAACATCAGTGGTGCCCAGTAGAATGCTTTAGACATAATAGGTACTTGATATATATTTGCCAAATATATTATTATTATGTTCGATGATTATTAATGGAAAACAAGTTAGAAGAAATGAGAGAAGCAAGAGTGGGTGAATATTGCACAGGGTAATGAAAAGGTCTTGGCTATGTTTCCCAAGATAAATGTAACTTTTAGAAAATTCACCTGGAGTTGTCTTAACTTCTTAGAACATTCTTTCCCTCATTATTAATATGTACAAAGAAGTCACCTTTCAGTGTTGAAAATATTAAAGCTGTCCATTCGATACAAGATTCTAGTCTTTCATCAGATGAGGTTTCTGAAATCAAGCATAATTCTGACAACCTTTTCAAGAAGCTGAAGAGCTTAGGAAAAGCAAATAAAGTGCTCTCTTAGCATATGAGAGGAGTGATATAGAGTATGGATAATAATGTTAACAAACTGAAGAAAGTTCCTATTTTTTGCTACACGAATTTTAACAATTTATGGCAAAGAAATCACACTATTCACCATAAAACAGAATTCATTTAAAAACAAAGTTTATATGTAAATATAGCCCCAAATAATTGAAGAGAAATGTTTAGTATTACCATTCTAAGTTATTAAAGCCAAGAAAAAGGAAAAAGAGAACGGAGTTAATGGAACCCACAGGCTACTGATGTGGCAGTTTATCAGATGTAGCTGTAATGAAAGATAAATAACACAGGCAATTCACACTTCATGAAAGGATAAAAGTGTCAGTGTGTAGGTACCAGTTTTACTGCAGGCCATAATCAGCAAGTAAATGAAAGTGCAATGTATAAAAAGTTTATAGGCTTCTATGAAGGCCTCGTCTTGTCATGTATTGATTTAGGTATTCAGACGACTTCACTGGTATTAAACAAATTGAGTGTTTGTGAACTTGGAGGACATGTTCTATTTCTCTTAACAAAAGTTGCCTCCAGCTTAATGTTACATTGCTTCCATCACTTAAATTTGAGGAAGGGGAAGAAAATGCTGAAATGATATCTTACACAATTATTTTCTTCTTAAATAGAGGGCAGTCCAAAGTGAACGTTTCATACTCTCCACCTTCTCCACAAACATGGGCTCCGTACTTCTTAGAAAGCTGAAAATAGGGGAAAAAAAGAAAAAGAAAAAGAAGGAAAGAAACAGGAATCTTAAAATTAGTTAGCAAAAATGCTCACTTAACTTATTTTGTCCTGAAAAATATCCATGCCAGAAACTTTAATTCCAAAATAGATGGTGAGCTACAGGAAAATAACTGTATATTTCTGCTTAAAATATGTGTTTAAAACCATATGAAAAATGTTATCATAAAGCATAGCATTTTTAATAATCACCAAACCCTTATAAAAAGATGTAAGGGACCAACATTTTTGTGTATAATGAGAAAGCTTAAAGATTACTATAAAGTTTAGGAATGCCACTAGCTTTAGCTTCAAAGGGAGGCTAAGGGGGAAAGATACTAAGTAATTACGTAGTAAATGAGGATATATGCAGCCAAACTGTGCTTTCCCCTGCCCTTTGACCTATATGTAGAAGGGGAAAAAATGTTGTGTTTAGAGCATTTCTCAGAGACACAGAGAATGTAATCTAAGGCCTTTCCTTGGGCCTGCGCACACAAAGAAGCCATAAACATGGTTATTATGCTTAAGGTTATTATTAATTGTAAAGTTCCAAGGGTATCAAGAACTAATGAAGTTCCAACGCTGCAGACAAGCCCTAGGAAAGTATAACTCCCAGAAAGGTTGGGATAGCTTATAATGTTGTCTGATTAAACCTGAAATTAAAACACACAAATAAATAAGCAAAGAAACAAAAAAATTCCCTGTGCTTTGCATTGAATATAAGCTGTGTTATTTAAATGATACTGAGAGTAAAATCATCTCTTATCTGGTTGGTACATGGCTGGAATCAGTGCTGGGGAGCACTCTCACTGGCTGTGCCACAGAATCTTTCTGCTCTTGTGTGGAGGCTTTAGCACTATGATTCCATCTCCTTCATTCTGAATTTCATAGCTTTCCCTGCTTACAGTCTCTCCCAGCCCAAAGGAAGAGCGACTCCATTGATGTTCTGTTACTGCCAGTGCTGGGACTGTGGCCTAAGTCTTTGGTTTTACCTGCACAGTTACACATTTATTTATTTGGTTATTTTTGTGGTTGTGCTACCATTCCAAATCCATTACATTTCAACTATTGACTACGTGCCCTTCGGGATTTAAAGCACACATCTATGAAAATTCTACTACTCCCTCTAAGCATCAATAGTAATGTGGATGACCTGTAAAGGCAAACAGCAAGAAAAGTGAAGGAAAGAAAATGGGGTGGCATTTTCTATAAGAACTCACATGAGCAAAGTGGATAAATGAAGTAGGGAATCAGCAAGGCAGAATTACGGCAGCTGGTCCTTATGAGACCAGATAACAGGAATACATTACCGTGGTAAACCAAATTAAATTGATGTCTGCTTTGCAATAAAAAATGTAGGAATAATAATGGGATGTGGATTTCAGGGGTGTTTCCTTGTTCTGTCAGCTGGTGCCTGACCCCTTCTGTGCTGATCTCCCTTCACTGGCCTTCCCATTCTAGCAACTGTCTACCAAGTGAACCTTCTACTCTCACCTTTATGGACAGTCTTCTTATGTGGGAGTATACCTTAACAATCACTGGCTTCCTTTTATTAGAAAATGTTTCACTGAAGCTTTGCAAAACTTCTATAATCTACCACCAAAGAATAACTGGAGTTTTAAAAATTAAAGTTGGCATGGCTGTTATCCTACTGATATCCTTCTATTAGTCCCTAGTAAAAGTAATGTGAGCTGCTATGTTAATCCAACATAGTACTAGGAAATCTAAAATATGGATGCATCCAGTGATATTTCCAGTTCATGTAAAATATTTCCATAATATTCATCCAATCAGTTCTTCAACAAATATTTATTTAACAGTGATTATTTGGCAGGCCTTGCTAGATGAAAAAGATCCAAAAGTAAACAAGACAATGTCCCTGGTCTCCGGAAGCTTCCTAAATATACTGCACCTTATATTTTAATACCACAATATGATGAAACAGTGATGTCGCTTCTATAAATAATATGTGCAATCTCTTCTCCCCACTACTACTGGTTCACCAGCATGGACACAGATTCCAAGTAAAGAAATTTGGGTAAAGAGTCCAGTGGTTTTTATGGCTGATGAACCAAGAAGTAGTCTGTGAATCCTTAGGATGTCTTTTGCAGCCCCTCTAAACTCTACTAGCTTCAAGCTCTAGTAGACGCAAGTATCTAGAAAATTCGATCTTTATTGGCTGACTTTTAGCCAGTTCCAAGTCTCTTTGATGTCCTGAGAGACCTCAAGAAGCAAAGTTTATGTTAGCCACTTTCTTTAAGCCATTTTCTTTATCTAAGACATAGCACCCTGTTAGAAAGCAACATCCTGGTAGCACAAAAGCATGATGTATGCATGTGATAAAAAAAGGGTCAGTTTAGGTAGTAGAGAATTCAGATGTGTACATTCAAGAGACATATTTGTGGTACACAACATTCAATTTACTTTTCTAAAACATGTAGGATAGTGTTACTCATATCTACACTATTCACAGAAAGTAGCAACTTTATTCTAACATGTTTCAGGTCTGTGTTTGGGTTTCAACTCCAAATTAGCATTTTACTGTATGCCAGCACTTAATCACTCCAAATACAGTTTTTGCAGTTCACTTTGATAAGTTTCTCTGTCGATTTCATTGTAATTGAAAATACTAAATAGGTAACAGTTTTTCTAAGGTTTAGTTTCTCACTGAATTATCATGATTCTTTCCATAATTTAAGTACAAACGATAGCAATCTATATTGAAAAATAAAAAATATTTTTCATATTGCTATTTGACCATTAAGGTCTAATGTCCATTAATTATTAAAACATTGTTAAATAGTTTCAGTTAGTATGTAAAAAGTGGAAGTAGACAGTTGTTATCACCGTAACACCAAAAACATGCCAGATAGGCTACAAAGCCATGCCTTTGTGTTTTACCTACAGAGATCCGAGAATGCAAAGAAGTCTGGAAGAACTAACTGCAGATCAGGGTAAGCCTTTCCTAGATGAGTGAAGATCCATGGTCACTTTCCTAATGGGGGAACAGACAGAGTAGAAGCAAATCTCCATAGATGAGGGACGTCTATCAGCGTATACAAAAAGCCAAACTCTTATGGCCATCTGTGGACCTCTGTGATGGACTATTAAGAGTCCTGAGGAGACCCAGGGAGTGTGTATAGCCTGCCAGTTCTTTTTCACAGTCTTAACTAAGTGTACACAGTAGCTACATGCAGAGAGCTAGGGCCAGGGCAGAAAAGGGGAGAGAGATCCCTTTGAGAACACCTGCCCATCAAGTCTTTTCTACTGAACTTTCACTGTACCAAGGACTGGTGACAGGGCAGGAAGACAGAGAGATTTCAGCCAAGACTTGGAAAGCCAGAGAGGAGGCAGGGAAAGGCCAACAGCAGTAAGCCCTTGAAAAGGCAAAAAAAAAAAAAACAAAAAAAATCTGGTAGCAGGACTTTAAAGCAGGGGGACAGGGTAGCGGGGAGAAGGAGAGAGAGATCTCTAGACTCACTGGAGCACAGATCACATGCCCTGATAAAGGGAGAGACCTTATCCTGCTTTCAAAACATTTCAAACACGTAGCAAACTGAAACAACTCAAACCAGACCCAGCTCAACTGGAGATCAGACTAAAGAGAATAAACACCACAAACTAGCTGTCAGACAGAGGAAGGGGTGTGACTTTTCTGGAGTGAATATTTACTTCAGTCTCTACTGTTCTTTTTTATTCAATATCTACCATAATATATATAAAACAAATTAGATGAACACTGAAAAAGTTAAAAATGTGACCTGTAATCAAGAGAAAAACAAACAAAACAGAAACAGACCCACACATTAACCAAATATTGAACCCAGTAGATAATGACTTTAAACATAACGACTATAAATACATTAAAGATTTACTGGAAAAGATAGACAAAATTTATGAACAGAGAGTAATTTTAGCACAGTTGGAAAACTAGGGATAGACAGCTGTAGGTTCATATTCTAGCTCCAGCACTTACTGAGTACTGGACCCGGGATGAATTGATTAAGTTCTCTGAATTTCCATTTCCCTAGGTAATACCTGCCCTTTGGGGGATGTTGTATTAGAAGATATAATACATACAAAGCTTTTAACCCAGTGCCTAGTGCACAGGAAGCAGTCGACATATGTTATCTTTTCTCTATTAATTTGCTATTCCCTTGGACCTTCTGCTCTTTATCTATATACTCCCATCTTTGAGGACCATGACCCCTACTATATCTATTACCTCTACTGCAAATGGCTCTCGAAGTGAAAACCCTAGCCATCAACCTCTCTCCCATGTATTCGCTCCCCCCATAACAAACGTTTATTGAGTGTTTTACTTGGGAGCATTGTTGTCTTACTTCAACGTGAATAAAACACAGTTCTTTATTTTTTCCTCAAAACCTTCTCTGCCTGCTCAATTTCTGTTCAATCAAGCTTAAAATGCTGGAGTAGAACTTAATTCCTTCCTTTCTTCTGCCACACAGCCTACATTTTAAAATTTTCATGAATTCATTTATTGAATCTACAAATATTCACTCAGTACTTATTACGTGCCAGATGCTCTTCTATACACTAGGCATATGGCAGTGAATGAGAAAATGTATGCACTCCCTTCCATTCTAACATCCTTACTGATCACTTTGCACTTGAACTATTACAATAATCTCTTGTCTTCCTGCTTTATATTCACCCCTCCCAATCTACCCTACATGTTATCAACACACTAACTTTCCTTGACAATATGAGATGGCATTCATCCACTCAAAAACTTTTGGTGTTTGACCATTGCCTATTCAATGGAAATCAAGCTCTGTAAACTGAGAGTCAAAGACTTCAGCCATTTGGTCCCATCATTCACAAGAATACCAAGACATAAAGCTAATACACTGAATGGGAAAATAAAGTAAAATAAAGATTCAAAAGAATCTTGACTGGCTGAAAAAAAAACCCAAAAGATTAAATCTTAAAAAGTGAAATATAACGTGATAAACAT